CCCAGTCGGAATTTCTCAGTTTTCTGTTGGAATACATTTGAACAATATTTCTCCTTCAACTACGGACTACTAACTTGGCTCTTTGTCTGATGAGTACAGAAAGAGCACATTTTATATAACAAGTGTACACTCAATTCTCACACACAATTGTGTCTCAATAGCAATTCGTGGCTGTTTGAACCCTATGGCGCACCTATTCCATCAATCCTCGTACCGGTTGTATAATTTTTAACAACGAATCCCAAAACTCCTCCTCCAACGGACACACACTACTCACAACCAGCATGGAAAAAGCTACAATGCGGATGGTATCTGTCCATATCACCTGCGTATCCACGAATTTGTCGTTCGATCTATTCCTTGCCAACTTCAAGTGAATCCGTTATAACTTCCAATGAATCCAACCCATCGCATTCCACTGTGAACCCCAGAAGATTATTGGTTTTTCGACCGTCAAGCGTCACCGATTAGACTTAACTCGTTCAGCTTGAATGAAATTACTTCTCCGTAACTAAACAAAAGTAGTTTTGAGTGAGTTACCGAGAGAGGATGAAAGTTTCAATAGGGTGAGGAGGACCGTTCTGTGCAAATGCACATGCAATCATTTACTACCAATCACAGTCTCCAACTAGATTTATTCCCCCAGAAATTCTATCTATTTTAAAAGAGTTGTCGAGACCTCTATTGCAACCACGTTTGGAATATTTTGTAAGTCTACTTACAGTAGATATTGATCTATCTTTGACTCCATTCACAAGTGCTGCCGTCAAGAGTACGGGAAAACCTGTTCTATCAAACACTGAGTAGAAGGCCCTGTTGTGTGGGCCACAACCTAAGCTATTTTATCACCGGCCCTAAGAGTGCCCCAGCTAAGCTCATACTCTCCATCTGGTGTTTGCGTATATTCCTCCCAGCGTCAAACAAAATCGACCCATCTCTGCTGGACTTGGTTGATTTCACCCTCCAGTCAAGCCACATGGAATGTTTCTTCTCCAGCATGTGGAGAGACACATTTAGTCGACAAAACGATTTTCAAGACTTTCTGGCCCCCTTGTTATGGGAAGGACCAATCTCGTATTTCACATGCTTTTTCCACCACTTTAAATCCTACGTGTATTTTCACATCGAGAAGTACATCTTTTTTATGTCTCAACAGCAAACCAATATCACCAAATAACGTGACGCTGATTTTTGTCTCGGTGTGCGCCAAATGGAGCACAGATTTCCCTTACAGTCATCATTGAACTAATTCTCTCGCAGAGCGCAAAATAATGTGTTCATTTGTCGCAAGGCAGAAGAATTGGCTTTCTCCTTAACCGGTATCTAAACAAATATTTTGGTCTATTTACCAAGATAACCTGTTAAATCGGTTTTTCTAACCTCCGTAACAATTCTTTTTTTGAGCGCGTTAGTTTGCGAACCACACGAGGAAAAGAGAAGTTTTCATTACCCGTATTTTAGCAATGATCTGAACAAACTGCTGTTAGATTGACGAAGCTATTTTACCTTTTATTCGCATCAGGTACTTTAGACAATGCGGTTACTCTTCCGTGGATCACAAACCATTCGATCCAAATGGAATCACCCGCTACTTCTCTGAATATAAAAGCCCTAGAATTGGTTGATCTTTCCTTCGCCGGCTCTTATTTTGCAATTCAGTTGCATATATTAACGGAACAAAGAAATAATGCTGCGATCTTTTCCAGCCAAAGTTTTGATACATCAGCTACCAATAATCATCTCACAACCTCTCTCAGTTGTCATTCCAGAGATGCGGATAATATGTGAACACCTGAAACCTAAAAAAATCCCGAAAGATCATCAATAGGATTTTAAGTCGCTTCGTTCCACCGGAAATCTACCCGTCGTAGTCTGTCACCAGTTTCCAGCCTCACCCAGTAACCACAAAGTATTCCCATGCTCTGGCCTGACTAATGGCATATTTCTCGAGGTTTGGGTTTCCTAAGCACTTGCAGACTTCGGTTTACCTCAGAAACTAAAGTACTTTCAATCTAGCTGACAGGACTCTCCCACTATCGCACTTTGGGTGCCGGCAAGCTTCATGTTTCCACAAAATTATTCATTCTTTTCCACCTGATCAAGGACGATAGACCTTCCGTACACTGAAATTATATTTCTCCTTCCATTAGCGACCTTGGACAATACACTCAGAGTTTTTTATTCCAATCTATCTTCTTCGATTGTAGAAACCCCGGATACACGGAATGTCTAAATGCTTCAGTACCGTGTAGAAACGGGTGGTCTTATATCTTCTTTCCCTTCATCTCCCCGAACGTGTTTGTCGTAAGACAGATGGCCTCATGAGTTACTTGATTGTAACATCTAAACTGCATAGAATAACCCATTGTTTGGTGTTTGCTTCTCTGATTCTCCGTATTTTCACACCTTGAGCTCCCCCTCCCTTTTTACTCATTCTTCATACATTTGCCGCCAGTTCCAATAGTAGTCACTCACCCACCCACTCCCAAAAAAGAAAGTCCCAGTCAAGGAACATACCCTTCCCACGCCTATTTTCCATGTACACCTCAGTTGTTTAAAAAAAACAGCGAACAGCTGAATTTGTGGCGAATATCTCTGTACTATATTCTTTCTCCATACAATTTGTATTCGGGATCATATCAATCATTCTGTAAAGAAAAACAGATAGGACACAGAATCTCCCAAAAACCTTGAAAAATCGGCTCAGTTTATACCTCATCGATTGGTAACAAATAGTAGCAAATGTTTGCACGTATTGTGTCATTCATCACCTATGCAGTGTGTGACGTTTAAATATCGGCAATTGGCTTCAGAAAGCTGAGTAACCTTGAGTCTGAAGAACTTTTAAGGGTTTTCGATCCTTCACTCCCGAAGTAATGAACTAGTTTGAGCATCGATGACGCATCTTTTAGTCTTTTTTGCCCCTAACTTAATCCAAACAAGTGTACCGAGACACTAATTTTCGATTGGTTAGGTAATTTATCGGTTCTATCAAGTTGTTCGTAGTGTGGGATCAACACCTTTTTCCCATCGGATATTTGTACACACCTATTTGCGTTTTGAGTTCTTCTCTAAATTATTCTTCCTAGAGTCTTCTATTACACGAAACCGGTTAGAAAGGTCATTAAAACTCGCATAAAAGATGCACTCTGTAATGATCGGATCTGTGATCAATGACACTGTACGCGGAGAGGATAGCGAAAACGTGCGAGACCCCTCACCTGCGATGCTTTTCTAACACAGTCGAAATACGAAAAAAACAAATACATAAGTACTTTTTTCCGACATCCTGTCGGAACCTGCACTTTCTTCACTGTCCGTGTTGAGCTTACCAAGTAGACTGATGAGGTCACACAATCACTTACGCACCCACCCACGTGTGTGTTTGTGTTAGTGTCAACCTCCCCCCCGCGCCTGATTTTGTGCTTTACACCACCGTAAGCGTTCAATTAACTGTCTCGTTGTTCGCCGGTCCACTTTGAGACGTGATCGATCGATCGCCAGCAAACAGATATATTTATAAGATCAGTGCACTTCAGGTTATCGATTTAACCATAGGCTATTCAAGTGGAAAAACTCTGAACGAAAGTGGTAAACTATGAAATAATAATACGAACGCAAGATTTTCCTTTTTTGCTGTTAATCGAAAAGAAATATCCCCATATTGCAAGCACACACAGCCTTGACAAAGAGAAACATTCGAAAATAGCCATTAAAAACAAATATGAAATTTTGAAATAGTGTAGTAGTAGTAGTAATAGTAGTAGTAGTAGTAGTAGTGGATATGCTGTGGAAGCCTTGAACCACTCGTTCATAGTGAATGCCATTACAGAAATAGAACGTTGGAACAAATCCAAGCGAAAAACGTTTCTTTGAATAGGATAATCGTTACTTTGGCTTCGAATGTCTTATTATTGTTATGTACAATCTGTGAAAATCATCGTGGAATCTGCCTGAATAACTCAAACTGTTTCACTGATTTTCTGCCCAGTTAAGTAAAAAGCACTTCACGTGGATCTCAAGATACTAATAAAACAGTTAACAGTAATCACCAATGGATAAGGTTTATTGTCATCCATATTTTAAGTCAGCGTCAGCTATCACAAACATTTTTTTATTACACACCTGGGTGTGATGAACAGCAGATGGGGCGAACCCCATAGTCACGAGGACCTGCTGTTCAGTGATGGAAACCGGCAACCTAAGCCCCGGGTCTTGGAGTGGCAAACCAAATAAGGTCCCTATAGGTTAGGCGTGGTGTTAAACTGGACGACATCAAAGGTGCTTACCACCAAAGTCAGTTGGCGGTGGTGGAACTCGAACCTCGGACCACAGGGCTCAAAGCACGCCGTTGACAGCGACTAAACCAATGCGACACCACCACCCAATCGATTATAGACGCTTGATAAAAGCGATAACTGATCACTAGTGCGGAATCATCCGGATTCTGTTTATTTAACATTTGTTCACTACGTTTTCACAGCGATTTTCTAAGGCATTAGATGATGACCCATCGAGTTTTGTGAAAATTCTTCAAATTTGCTGCATTTTAGATAATTGTATCGGTCAGTTTACACAAATGTGTTCATATTTTGTTGCTGTTTAAGTGTGTGTTTCATACCGCGTGATGCAACCCGCAGACGGGAAAGGGAAGTATCCACTGGACCTTCATAGCATTTTGCAAAACAATTTATTGGTAGCAAACATCTGACTGCAATTCAAAAAGAGAACGATTGATAGACAGCTTCACCAAAATCAGCCGGATGTTGTGTGATAGATCACCGGAAACAAATCTTTTGATCACTATATCAAATATGATCGGCATCATTAACAATAGCATGAAATGGCTAAAAGTGATGATCAGTCATCATCTAAAATACATGTGAACCGTAACTGTTTAATTAAAAGATGTTTCTGGATATTGTACAATTGCTGCATAATATTTCATATTTACTTAGATCAACTTATTTGCAGAATTCCATTTATCTTCCCAAATTCAGGAACATTTGGTAACGGCGACTGAAAGCATCCGAGCCACGTTGGATGTGTGCAATGCCAACAGACGAAAAGCTGCGTTTTCTGAAACCCTAACAAAACAGATCGGCAAACGTCGGATAGCAGTGTTCAAGGATTACACAGAAGGTAAGTCAGTTGTGGTCAGTTGACGTATGTCAGACATGCTCTACCGCAGTGTGACATTGACTGGGATTAGGACCAAGCGTGAGCCATCAAATCACAAAATTCAGTTCCCCGTCTTCTTGTTTTGTTCCTTTTCGTGATTTCCGTATGTTAGTTTATTTCTACTATTGATCAGTTTGGTAATCAATAAATTGGTGTGTTGCGTGAAGCTTGAGTATAGTTGTAGAACAACCATGCTGAGAATTCATGGATCCGACATTCGATCACTTTCTGGTAAGATTGGGTACTGTTCTATAGTTTCTATGAGCAGAAGAGATTCATTCCCAGGAGTCTAATCGATTAGAGCTTCGGACTGGGAACTACTTGCGCACGGGTTCGAATACCCCACACACTTTATGGCAGTATAATGCTGATGATTCTTGACAACGATGAAACAGCTGAACACAATTTTGTCATAATAACCCTGTGTGAAGAATACTTGTTCGTTATAAGTAAAATCACTTTCCCACACAGTTTCACACTACTCAAAGACACCAAGAGCAATTCCTGAAACAACGGATGATTGATATAAACAGATCAAAATAAAACAGTTTTGACTACTCTCAAAGACAAATAGCGATAGATACATAGCCAGCAGGTATAAGTGGAAAAAGCATAATGTAATGAGTAGTGTAAGTTGTGAAATGTTAACAGTGAGGATCCGGTTTTCGAGCACTGGCGACCAAAGCCCAGGAACTTGGCACAGGAAATTACATAGGATAGGATTTTGAGTGAATCAGTGAGACATGCTTCTCTGTTCGTTTCTCTTCCAAATGCGAGCGTATCAACCAAACAAGCCGCAGCATCTATTCGCTCGCCTGGCTGCAGATCTATTAGGAAACACAATACAATTCAAATCAACAGACTTTACTTTGTATCGACAACAGTTTTGTTTTTCTTTTTTTTGATCTGTCTAAAGGTACTAAATATTTTCTTGATGGGGTAGTGTATTGGTCGAAGTAGACACATATCACGATATAAGAACTACAAATCACGGGAGCCATTGAAACACTGAATCACATAGCACTTGCATGCTAGGTTCTCCCGTCACGGAGACGCCAGGAAAAGGTCACAGAGGTAGCGGTTTATTTATTGGACGAAATCAAGTGGATTACTTAACATGTACCAAGTAAGTTTATTGGTTATGCAGGTGTCCACCAATCACCTGCTTGTATTCTTATTGTCATAAAGCTTCTGTCGGGTCCGCATGAGTTCCGATTAGTCGGAACGACTCGTCTGTGTTCGTTGTCCAAAAGGTGTAGGTGCTTGGTTGGCATCATTTGGGAGGGTTGACTCACAACGGTTGTCCAGAGACTATATCACGTCGCTCTGTGACTTGTTATCCAGTAGGCTAGGATCACAACACCTAGACTGCTTTAGATCTTAGTGCCGGAAGTGCTGTTCAGCATCCTATTAGGGGGGGGGGGGGAACTGTCAACAGTACGGCTGTAATTACGGCATAAACCTCCACCTTCTGCGATTTTACCATAGATTTAGAATCACTGATCGCAAATATCGCTCCTAGTGAAACAAGCCGCACGAGGCTGTAAAAATATATACGCTGAATGTTCCTTGTACTGCAAAACATTATTTGTTTTCATAGTCACTCGTTTTCTCAGTCTGACATAAATGGTTGGATGCCATTTACCGTTGAATCCCTCCACCATTATCAAGTCTAATATCCTGATTCGTTCACTCAAACTGTCCTTCTTATTGTGCAACTTTCTTTTAAAAAAGGGGGGGTCAAGCCTTACCCTTCAGAAATATNTTCGAATTTATGGAATAATTGTGAGTTCCATTGGAACACATTCTCACGCATTCTTCGTATTCTTGACGAGGAACCACTAACACAAAGTGCGAATTCTTCGAACCAGTTCGCACTTGAGGAGGACGAAAATACAAGTTTCTGCAGGAGACGAACATTTCAATCCTTGGAATATATTAGCAGCACACGTTGACAGAAAGCACCGTTTACCAAAAAACCTTACTCTCATCGAATTCTATATGGCACTATTTTGTATAGAACATAAAGTCTTTGGGATATGGCTTTTATCTCTACTACTCACGAGACGTCATCGACCTTGTTACCTGGGTTTCGTTTAGACGGTGCCACTCATGTGAGTTAGACAGAAGGCCGCGGAAGGCTACTCAATTTCACATCTTGTTGTCGATCCCACCACGAGAGGAAAACCGATTCAACCCCACTCAGTGGTTGCTAAGATACCATTTATAGGTAGCATATAGATCGTCGAACCTTAACGGGGTAGCGAGTGTGTAACATGATTCAATTACATTCGCTGTGTGGTAAGATGAGGCAAGTTGTCAAAACAGTGGCATTTGTAATGGTTTTAGTTTCATCGTGGCTGCATGGTTTTCCAGACGTGTTACATCAGGGTGTCTGCTCCACCGGAGAGCGTAAACAATTGCGCAAAATATGATACCTGTAGAGCAACTAACATCTGTCACATGAGCATGGGACTAATTATAGCATTTCGGGAACATCGTCTATCTATGTGAAACAGCTGTTAAATCAGAAAACAATCACATCTGCCATTGTTTCACTCGTTGCCAAATCTAATTTTACAATTTCTGTGAATGAAGAGGGAGGTTTCCATTGGGAGTGTGACCCTATTGTGGGTGTGGATAGTTAGCTTTGAGGGTTCGAGGAAATATGAGTTTGTCAGAAGGCTGTCAGAGACCGCGGTATCCAGTTTAATGGATCGCTTATTGTTACGATGATTCTAGTCCTTTTGGCAAAGTTTTGCGCTCCGAAAAGCTCTCAGTGGATTTCACTGTCCACATGTTTTTCCGCATCAACTATGACGTTTCAGAAACTGCACACGGGTTAGTGGTAAATTCTTCTATTCCAATGATTTTATTATCTTTCCAGATGTACATTAACCATACTTTTTAAATTTTGATCACTCCGAAAACAAGCTTTTCAAGGGACAAACAGATTTTTTCACATAAAATTTGATAGACATTTGTGACAGAAAATACACTGTCGATTTGTCACACACTGCATACCACAAAAAACGAATTTTCCTCGATAATGAGAACGAAGACCTCCTGAACCTGGAGGTCAAAATCTTTGGATACCCTGACAACCACAGTTTCTGCAATAATTTTTGGGAGAAATTGCTTGTGTTACCTTCAGGGGTTTCCGAAGTCTGACCATCCGACAATAGAGCCCATCAAATATAATATGTGGCAACAATCAGAGTAGTTTCACTTCAATGCAACAGATGGGTCGATGGTTGCTACGTTGTAGGAGTAGATAAATTTCGAATAGAAACTTCATATTGCAACTAAAGAACATTGCCAAAAGAGAAACAATCTGATTTCAACCATTGCGATCTCCGAAGACTGGAGTGTGCTATTTGGCTGACAATGACAATAAGTGAGATCATATTCGATGTTCAATTCGTCGTGTAAATGAGACGTGAGATGAAAAGCTGGGAATGATGGGACAGCTGTTTCGACCTGGTTGGGTTTCATCAGCATCGTGAACTCATATCGATCGAACCGGGGATCGAAACCGGGACCCCATGGGAAGATAGCAATTATATTCAACTCAAAAATACCTAGTATGAGTGTCTTTTGCATTATACCTGTTAACTGTTAACATCATTATCATCGTCATCTTCGCAAAGCGAAATGCAGGGAAGCGAGATTTACTGATTACTGCCATACTCGGAATGCATGCAAGGTTAGTGGCAATAGTTAAAGTGGACGGGGATT